TCTGGAACCCTTCTTGGGGCCCCCGTGATACCTTTTGGCTTAAGCCGAGCTGGGGCCCTTGGAGCGAGACCAAGGACTACTCCGCGCCGGAACCATCTTTTTGAGCAGCCCTGCAGACTCTCAAAGACCACAACCCGAAGAGAGCACGGTGGCGGTCTGGGCCGAATCCAAGCCACCACATGTCGCCGCCGCTTACACACTGCGAAGCCCGTCTCTCATGGGTACTGGGGCACGTGGCGTCGGCACCTGGCTCTCATGGGAGCTCGAAACTGCCACGCAAAGTTCGGCACCGGCGACACCAGTCTGGCACCTTTTCGACTTCTGGACGGCGCCTGGCGACTGAAGATGGCTGCCAGTATGAGTCCAAGTGGCCACAGAGACCCCCAGAGAGGAGTCGAGAGCCCTTTACTCCGTCTGCTCACTGCCGCAACCTACTCATCATACTGATCGATCATATCTGATCCATCATCTTGCGACTCCTCCCCCATTCACCTCCTCATCATCATGATCATCGTCGTCATCATCATCACCGTCATCACCACCGCCGCCATCGTCAGCATCATCATCACCATCATCCGCGAACTCCTCGTCATCGTCTCCCCACTTCATCCATCCTCATCGTCCTGCTCATGATCACCATCATCGCCAACATCATCAGCATCATCATCATCACCGTCATACGCATCATCATCATGAGCATCCTCGTCATCATCGTCGTCTGGAACGGTTTGTAGACATGCTACAGCGCTGACCTTCTGAGACAGGACGGCGGGTGGGAGTGAGGGAGACGGCCAGCAGGCGGAATGGATAGCTTGACCCCTGCCCGCCCGCTAGCCGTCACGCTCACTTTTGGCGTAACCATCTCCCCCTTGCCAATGGTCGTCGAAGCCTCAAGATAGCCTGAAGAGCACCCAGGGGGAACCGAAGAGGGGCTCAGGTGGCCCCAAACCAGGCGCAAGAGCGCCCCTAGAAGGCGATGCGTAGGCTATCGACGGGCAGCCCTGGTTGCAGCTCCCCCTCTTCACTCAATGTCGTACATGATCGCCCCAAGAGGGCCAACGCGGCCCCCAGAAACATTGCAAAAAAACCTCAAGAGGCGCCGAAAACGCACCAAAGAAGCTACCAAGAGGCAACAAAGGGGCCCGAAAGGGTCCCCCCGAGCTGCCAAGCGGCTCAAAATGTCACCTGAACCGCGGAGAAGTCGCCAAGATGCCTGAGTAGGCTCCCCAAAAGCCCTCAAGAGATGTCCCAAGAACCTCCATGCATCCAGTAAACCACTGGCTTTTCTGTTCGCCAACCTCCTCTTTGTGTGCCTTTTCCCCTTCCCTCTCCTTTCTCCCTCCTCCATCACCTTCCCGCTTCGAATGATAACGACTGCCCCTCCTTGCTCCCGCACTTGCCTGATCGCACCAACTCGCATGGGCATCGTTTCTAGATGAGCTGGTTGGGGCACGGGACGCGTCAAGCACTTCTCCAATTGCTTTCCATTCGTGTCTGACACTGTCATGAATGTGGCCCAAGCCAGACTCCTGCCCCCCCTTTGTCCCATCTGCTCTGGGACACCGCTTGCTGAAAGAGATCAGCGCGCTCACCGCATGCGAGACGTGAGACAGCACTCCCCGCACCGCCGACCCCCAAAACGGACCGCGCCCAAAACGGAACGGGAAACCCTGTCGCAGAAGGAACGAAATGGTTGACCAACAATTTCGCGCCTGTGCCTTGATCAATGAGAACGGGCCAAGCACCGCCTCACATCACAAGACACACTCGAGCCGCGTCCAGCCAAGGCAACGAATGCCCCCGACAACGCGACAAAACCTATCGCGGGGGCCCGTGACCCATACTGTCAATCTTTGCCTCCTGCTCATCCCTCCTCCCCCTCCTCCTCCTCCACCTCATCATCGTTCCTCCTCCTCCTCCTCTTCCTCCTCCCCCTCCCTCCCCCCCCTCCTCCTCCTCCTCATCCTGCTGCTCTTCCTCCTCCTCCTCCTCCCTCCTCCTCTTTCTCTTCCTCGTCATCCTCATCCTCATCCTCACCCTCATCTTCATCCTCCCCATCATCATCATCACCACCACCATCATCATCACCATCATCTTCCTCGTCGTCGTCGCAATTGTCATTAACGTCGTCATCATCGTCATCATCAGCAGCATCACCATCGTCGTCATGGTCGCCGTCGTGTCAGCAGGACCATCCTCGTCACCTGGCAACACACTACCCGAAAGACTCCGACCATGATACTCCACAGTACTCCCGGACGGCATCCGCCGACACCCTTGAGATGTCACCGGCGTGCAACGTACTGCCCCGACTCCACCACCCGAAAAGCCCCAAGGACGACCACGGAACCCTCGGAGAGAACCCCCAAACACCCCGTGCATGCCTGATACCCCCCGCGACAGGGCCCCCCAAACGGCGCCCATGCGCGAAGGCCCGCCCAACAGCACCCGAACACAGTTCAAGGTCACCACCTGAATCTTTCCCGCAGCTTGCAAAGAAGCCGTGATAACGACCACGCGGAAAAAAAAGGGGTCGGCGGATGTGGCGTAAGCCTATAGAATCTGAACAGAGGACACTGCTGATGGGTCGGACGTGCTGTCTTGTTAGATTGTTGCAAGATTGGAGTCCCTCTGTGGCGCCTCTGGGGTTCCTGATTGGGCGGCCGAGACGCTTGCAGAACCGTTCCGGGAGCCCACCCCCTCCATCGGAGCTAGTTTTTAAGTTTCGGGGCTGTGCGCCAAAGTCGACGCCGTTCTGAGGCGTCTCAAGAGCGACTGCGAAGGGCTCGGGAAACCTTCGGGAGAGCCACCGGGAGCGCCGGGGAGGCTCGCAAGGATCTCCGGGGAGGGCCCAAAAGGGCTTCAAGAAGGCATGATATGTACCAACACTTTCACAACAACTGCTGCTGGGTCGGACGTGCTCCGCTACGTTGGGGAAGCCGTGCTGTTGGATTTCTGTTGAGGGCGAATCTCTCTCGGGCGTGTCAGGAGCGCGGGGCCCCCCCTTTTGGAGGCAGGTTTGAAGCCTCTTTGGGCCTCTTGGGGGGTGGAGCGAGTCTCAGGTTCTCTTGTGGGCCTCTTCGGAGCCTTTTGGGACCCTCTTGGGCCGTCTGGGCTCCTCTTGGGCCGTCTTGGGGCCACGCTCAAAACTCCGTGCGTCATCTGGACCCTCATGAGGCTCTCCTCTGGGTCTTCTCGGGTTTCCTCCTCCTCCTCCTCCTCCTCCTTCTGCTCCTCCGCCTCTGCCTCCTTCATTCCTTTTCCTGATAGATAATTTCTCCCTGTCGCACCCCGAGACCGGGCCGGGCACTTATGACCCCGATGCTTAAGAGCTGACAGCCGTTTCGCAGATGGAGGGCGGGCCGCTTCCAAAACGTGGCTGGACCGTCGGGGGTGGCCTCTGGAGCAGCTCAGAGCCGTCTTGGGGTCGCCGGGGCGCCCTCCTGGGCGCTTCGGAACCGCTGCTAGGGCCGTCGGGGGGCGGCGTCTGGCGCGTCTCGGAGCCGTCGCGGGGCCGTCGGGGCGCCCTCTTCTTCAGCGGCTCGGAGCTGCCGCAAGCCACGCGGTGCAGAAGCCCCTCTCGCACGCACTGCTCCTGGTTTCGTGGGAGAGACGTGGACTGACGCGTGGACTGCCGCCCACGAGTCCCAGTGGTCAGAGTGCCCTTGCTGCTGCTGGAAGAGGAGGACGAGGAGGAGGAGGAATCTGTCAGGGCTCGAAGCGACACCAGATTGAGGCTCGAAGGGATCATTTTGACACCCCGCCAGCATGATCTCTCTTTTCGGCTCCCGGAAATGTTGAAGAGGGCTCCGGGAGGGACCCAAGAGGGGCCCCCGAGTGGCCTCAGGAGGCTCGGAGAGCGCTCCGAAGAGGGCCTCCAGAAGCCCCGAGAGAAACCGGGAGGGCCTGAAGCGACACCAGATTGAGGCTTGAAGTGATGATATTGACCCCGGCGAATATGATGACTGTCTGGGCTCCCCGAGACGCCCAAGAGGGCTCCGGGAGGGGCCCAAGAGGGACCCCCGAGTGGCCTCAGGAGGCTCGGAGAGCGCTCCGAAGAGGGCCGTCAGAGGCCCCGAGAGAAACCGGGAGGGCCTGAAGCGACACAAACTTGGGCCTCATGGGAGCCTGTCGGAGCCGTCTCTTGTGGAGCCGATGGGCAGCTCTGGGAAATCTCTGCGGAGCCTGCCAGGGGCCTGCCGGAAGCCTGTGGGGGGCGTCTTGGAGGCCAGCGTTCCGGAGGTAGCCCTCTGCAGAAGCCTCCCTGGAGGCCGTCTTGGGGCGTCGGCGGGCAGTCCTGGGGGGCTCCAGAGCCATCTGGAGCTGCCTTGGGGCATCTGGGAGGCCCCCTGGGCCGCCCTCGGCTGATTTTGGGAGCGGGGCTGTCTGGGGCAACGTGGAGCTGGAAACGGGAGCTCAAGAGGAAGTGTTCCCCAAAAACTGAAACAACTACTTTCACGTCCCCATGGGCCTCTCGGAGGCCATCTGGGAGCCTGGTGGAATCGCCAACAATCTGGCCATCCACCTTTACGAAGAATAGAACGAGCCAAATGAGCGTTTGGGCGAGCAAGAGAAGCGGCACAACAACAAAAAAACAAATCGCACCGGCACGGCGGCGATGTCTCGCTGCAAGTGCCCCAAAGCATGCAGCACGCTGCGCGCGCGGACTGGGCAAAGCTCCGCGTCGGCCGGGTCAAGACCTTCCTCCGCCTCCCTCCCCCTCCCTCCTCCTCCTCCTCCTCCTCCTCCTCCTCCTCCTCCTCCTCCTCCTCCTCCTCCTCCTCCTCCTCCTCCCCCTCCTCCTCCTCCCCAGGCCGTCTGGGAGGCCTCCTGCACTGCAGAGGCGCGCCCCGGGAGCCTCCCCCGGGCACTCGCGGGGCTCTCCGGGGCGGCGTCGGCCCGCGAGCGGGGCCGCGGAGGCGCCCCCGCCGCGGGCCCGGCGGGCGCGGGCAGTTCCCTCATCAGCCGGCACGCGCGGAGCCGGGCGGTGCAGTGCAGACGACGTTGGGCTCCAGCTTCGCCTCCCGTATCTCGCCCAGCAGCGCGAGAGCCCGCTGCCACTGGCCACCCTGCTCGCACGCGCTGATGCCAGCGCTGCAGCTGATGACGTCGAGCCCCAGCTTCGCCTCCCACATCCCGCGGAGCACTGACAGCGCGTGCTGCCATTGCCCGCCCCTTCTGCATGCGCTGACAATCGCCATGTAGTGGCTTGGGGCGAGTTGTACACCTGATAGAATTCCTTCGCGGAGCAACCGCAGTGCTGCGCTCCATTCTTTTGTCCGACCGCAGTTCTTGATCGACACTTCGAGGGGAATAGCGCCTTCTCGAGACCTTCGACCGATGACCAGCATCCGACAAAAAGCATTCAGAAAGACACGGCACCGCGGCTTGAGCCAAACTGGATTGAACCCAAGTATCTCGAGCTAGAACTGATCCGCCTTCCTCTTCCCCCCCTCCTCAACGATGGCACGATATGAGAACTACTCTCCTCTCTCCCCTGTCTCTGTCCGGGGGTATTGAGCCCTCTCCGCGTATTCTTTCACAAATCGGACTTCAGAAGGTGATATCTCTTCGATGTCCTTGCACTCCATTTGCATTCGGTGCCCCAAAAACGGTGCTGCCGCCGCAAAGTGGGCCTTGTTTTCGGATCGGCGCTGTGGATCCCACAGGCCTCGCAGGTCCCACAGGTCTCGCAGGTCTCGCAGGCCCCACAGGTCCCCCAGGACGCACATGTGCAGCGGGTCGTCCCACAGGTCCCACTCTGGTACCGCAGGTCTCGCAGGTTCCAAGGGTCCCACAGGTCTCGCAGGTCCCCGCAGATCCCACAGGTACCACAGGTCCGACAGGTCCCGCAGGTCCCAAAGGTCCCACAAGTGTCGTATGTCTCACAGGTCCCACAGAGGTCACCCAGGTCCCACAGGTCCCAGCGGTGCCACAAGTCCCGCAGGTCTCGCAGGGCTCACGAGTCCCACAATTCTCACTGGTCCCACGGGTCCCACAGGTGTCGCAAGTCTCACAGACCGGACGAACTCTTCCGCACCATTTTTAACCGGACCAACTTATCCGAAGACGAATTCATCCGAAGACGAGTTCATCCGAACCACTTCGCCCGAGCGAATGCTTCCCGACAAAGTCATCCGGACAAATTCTTCCAGACGATTTCTTCTGGGAGACTCCGTTCGGCCCAGATGCGGAGAGCATCCTTGCGTCCTCGTCCGAGACGACCTCGTCTGGACAAATTCTTCTGGACACATTGTTCCGGACGACTTCTTCCGAGACGGCGTCCCGACAAATTATTCAGGACGATTTCTTCCGACGACGACTGATTCCGAGACAACGTCGTCTGGACAGATCCTGCCAGACACCTTTTTTCCGGACAGGCTCTCCCGGACAGCTGCTTCGCCCAGACTGGTTCCGGACAAGTTCTTCTGGACGCATGCTCCTCCCAGACGACTTCGCCCAGACTTCCGCACGAATTCTTCCCGACGCGAGGTCTCTCTGGACGACCTCTTCCAAGACGGCCTCCTCCGGGCCATGCCTTCCGGACCACTTCTGGACGGGGCCCTCCCGGAGAGCGGGCGGCGAGGCAGCGAGGCCTCCCCAGGCGTCCCCCGAGAGAGGGCGGCCGCGGGGCGGCCGCGGGGCAGCCGGACGCGGCGAGACCTCCACGGAGGCCCAGGGGCGGGCGGGCGGCCACGGCCGGCGACGCGGCAGGACCTCCGGGGACCCCCTCCGAGGGCGGGCGGCCGCGCGGCGGCCGCCCGGGCGGCGACGCGGCGGGGCCTCCACGGCGGACCCCTCCGAGGGCGGGCGGCGGCGAGGCGGCGAGGGGAGCCGGGAGAGAGGCGGCGACGCGGCGCAGCCTCCACGGGCCCCCCCCCAAAGTGCGCTGCAACGGAGCGGCAGTGCAGCGGGCGGCGACGCGGCGCAGCCTCGACGGGCCCATCCCCTTCCTCAGGGCGAGGAGTGCGAAGCCCTAGGTGCAAGCACCGATTGGGGAATCAAAACACGTGGGCGACCCGAGCAACAGAGCTTGGAACAGAAGCAGCACGGCGGCGACGAAGGCGGCGGCGGCGATGAACAGGAACGCCCCTTGTCTGCTGGGAGCGGGCCACGACGGCTGAATCGCACACTTGAACGCCTGGCGTGAGAACAACCAAAAGCCGTACTATTCCATACGTCTCGTGGCAACACAAAGAGACGGAAACAAATGCTATTCCGCTCTGCTCGTCTCGTGGCAACGCCCAGGGGCCGAGCAAAACGCAACGTCGCGGGGCGGGAAACATGCTACTACTCTTAGGTCAGGCATGTCCCCCTGCAGGCGGATGTGATGAAATATGTATAATATCTCAAAAATTCACCAACATAGTCACAATTAATGGAAAATCGTCCCCAAGCTGTTGTTTTACTATTTTTAATGTTCCCCCTGTAGAGGAACAAGCCCGATTTACTACTACTCCACTGTACTCGCCGCGTGGTAGCGTCTGGCGGGCGGCAACAAACGGTTCCAGTCTACTCGCGACGCAGGAAGGAGTGGGCGGCGGGAGGAGGGAGGGGGGGGGAGGGAGGAGGGAGGAGGGAAGAGGGAGGAGGGCGGAGGCAGGAGAGGGAGGAAGGGAGGGAGGGAGGAGGGAAGGGAGAGGAGGGAGGAGGGAGGAGAAGGAGGGCGGAGGGAGGAGGGAAGAAGGAGGAGGCGAGGAGGGGAGGAGGGAGGAGGAGGAGGGAGGAGGGAGGGGAGGGAGGAGGAGGAGGGAGGAGGGAGGAGGGAGGAGGAGGGGAGGAGGGAGGAGGGAGGAGAGGAGGAGGAGGAGAAGAGAGGAGGAGGAGGAGGAGGAGGAGGAGGAGGAGGAGGAGGAGGGGTCGCTGGCCGGGCGAAGGCACGCCAAGCGGGCAGTGCATGCGGAGCCCGTGCCTCGGGAAGGGGGGGGCGGCGGGGGCGACGACGACGTGAGGACGGTCGGCAGAGAAGGTCGGGCGCACAACCGCGGCAAGGCGAGCTGTGGGAGGTGCAGAGTGCCCCCTCGCTCGCTCGCTCTTGCCGTGGGCTGTGGCAGACCATGGGCGCGCATCTTAGCATGGCAATTGTGAAAACGAGCATGGCGCACTTCCGCGTCGCCATGTGGAGGCATCACTCACTGCATCTTGAAGCTGGCTGCTGTCCCCAGCCAGACGGATTGCGTCGGGCAGCGCGCTTGGGACCCATTCCTTCCTAAGTGCTCCAACTCGGCGGGCGTACCAGTCGGAGACGGGGAGGAGGCAGGGGAACCCCGGCTTGAACGTGACCTCTTGCACGACTGAGCTGTACGGCTGGCGCAGGGCGCGCCCCAATAGAAGTAGTTGTCTGCGTCGCATTTGCTCAGAAGCTGTCTCGAGACCCGCGCTCTGCAAAACGGTGGCGTTAAAATATCTGGAGACGAAATATGGCTGTATGTGTAGGACTCGACTGAGACACCCAGCCCGGAATCCGTCAACTCTGCGTAGTTCCGCCTTTGTGAAGCACCCTGCTGGCAGCGCATACAGCAGTTTGGATTCGACCAGAGAATGATCAACCAGGAGGCGTCGCTTGAGCGGCGGAGAGGAATGCTTCCAAATTTGCTGGGATGTCCGGAAGTCTGCAACTGCTGCCCCGATTTGGCGACCCATTTCTTGGCTCATTCTTCCATCTGCTGACAGCGAAGAACCGATATGCACAACGCTGTCCTCGCTCGGTATGGCTTTTCCCGCACGGGTGAGATGAAGCGGGAATCCGCCAACACGAGGCGCCCCATCGTCTTCACCACCTCGTGCAGCCCCTTCTTCTCTACCTTCTCCTTCTTGGCTGCGTTGGGCGCTGGTTACTCCATCTCCTCGCCGTGTTGTGCCAGCCAAGCAGGAACTGCTATATCTACGCCGTCTCTGTCTCTTGGGAGTCGGTCGTGGAGGGCGCCTCGGCAACAACTCCTGAAAGAGGCGATCCGGGTCAGCGGTCTCCAACCCACACAGTCTGCGTTTCAACGACTCAGGAAGGATCAAGCCATGGAACTTCTTGAAGGAGGAGGAGGAGGAAGAGGATTATGAGGATAACGGCGACGACGACGCCATCGACGACAACGCAGGGTCCTTTTGGGCTGCGAGCACAGACGGGACCCATCGCTGCTCCGCAACGCCAGCGCCTGGCCACTGCAATCGCCCGAGGCAGAGGCGGAGCAGACGCGGACCAGGGAGGAGGAGGGTTTGGTGCAACCATCACTCGGGGTGCGCAAACATGTATTAGCGATCCATGGATTTCGCGCGCGGTCGCCAAATCCATGGATCGGGGGAGGTGCCCTCTCCAAAATGCGGCCAATGCCGCCTCGCTCGGCGGCGGAAATCCGAAATTTTCTTATGGAAACGGGACCCGCCGCTAGTCCAAGTTCCATGATCCATGTTTGCGATCGCCTGAATCATGCCCTCGTTCTTTCCCTCGCCTCCCCTCCCCCCCCACCTCTGCTTTCCTCCCTCGCCTCCCCTCTCCCTCGCCTCGCCTCCCCCCCGCCTCTCCCTCCCCTCGTTCTTTCCCTCGCCTCCCCCCTCCCCTCTCCCTCGCCTCCCTTCCCCTCAGGCCTCGTTCTCTCCCTCGCGCTTTTTCACGGCGCAGGCCCCCAGCTCCCAGAGGTCTGGACCTTTCCCCCTTGGACCCGTCCCTCGTCCTGGGCTGCGTCTGCTGCGGCCCTGGGGCCCCGGTGAGAGGCCGAGGATGGCCAAGAACCTTCCGTCGTGTTTCTGATGCTGCCGCGAGGAAGAAGAAAGGGGCCCGCCTTCCCCTCCCCCTCCCCTTCACCTCCCCCTCCCTTCCCCTCCCCCCTCCCCTCCTCCTCCAGCTCGCTCCTCCTTTCTCCCCCCCTCTCCCCGTCTCTCGTCCCCCTCCTCCCCCTCCCTTCCCTGCACGGTTCCCCCCCCCTCCCCTTCTCCCTTCCCCTCCCCCTCTCCCCTGTACCTGCTCCAGGCCGGGACTTTCCGGACGCCTTGGCTCCTAATGTGCCCCCAGGCTTTTGCAACAACGCGGTCCGCCACTCGGCCGCCGCACGGGCAGACCAGCGCCGACACCAGGTCTGGCCCAATCCTCTCTCTAGAGGGGCCCAGGGAGGCACTAATGAACAGACGCAAATCCCAAGATTTCCCTACTATATTGTTTTTGTTGGGGGGGGTCGGGTTTCTGTTGTTTCGCCGCCTCCCCCTTCCACCCTCCATGCCTTCCCACATGTTCTGGGGGATCGATGTCTACTTGTGTCTGTGCCTATGATTCCTCCTGACCCTCCCCCTCTGCGACCGCCTGCGAGCCCCACCGCTGCGGGTCTGCTCGGCGACGGGGTGTAGCAGGCACACGCGATGA